GTCATAGATAAAATTGGTTTTAGGTGATAGCAAGCAATTTCAGCAGCCAGGCTTGCAGAGAATTATTAATATATTCTTGGAGCAATATTTTGCACCCTGAGTGTTTTTTCTCTCTGGCATCTCGACTCTGTTTTAGTTGGGTATGACAAAAATGACCCAATTTATATAATCTGCTCTCACAACTGAAAGGTGGTAAACATTTAAAAATTATATGTAACTTCATTTGTTACAGTGATAGATTTAAACTTAAAATAACTTATTTCCTATAAAAAAGCAATTATTTTTGTTTTAGAAGATGAAGGCAAGCAAAAAAAAAAAAAAAAAAAAAACAAAACCACAAAACCTCCAAATCCCATTCACCCAGAGACAACCACTGTGAACACTTTGGAGAGCAGTCTTCCAGACACTTTCAATGCACATAGTAAAGAAAAATTCAAAATGGAATCATAATGTATATGCTGTTTTGCAACTTAAAAAAACTTTTAATGAATATATTTAATGAAAAGACATTTATGTTTGCATGCATTCCATTATACCTCTTATTGGACATTTAAACAGTTTATGTCTTTTTTGCTCTGAATTAGTGCTGCAGTGGAGAAATGAAAATCCTTACATCTAAATCTTTGCCTATGCTCTCACTTCTTTGTGGTAATTATTTTTCTCTTTTAGACTCATTTGTATTTGCACTTCTTTATCTCTCCCTTACTGCCTTCTCATTCCACCCCTAAGTCTTTATACTGTTTGTGGATGAAGTTGCCCATGGCATGTAAAGCCCACTCAATTTTTAAGTTTATCTTTCTGATTATAAAGGTAATAATAATGCTTATTGCCGAGCACTAGAAAAATTAACAAGAATATAATAAAAAGATTATGATACCTAGACAACCACTTTTGCTATGAATCTTTTTTCTCTCTCTGTTCCTTCAGCAGTAAGTATTGAAGTGTTAGCTAATTCGATAGGGAAATATTGCAGCTTTTGATTTGCTTTTTGCTTATTACTGTAGCTGAATAATATTTCAAATAGTATTTAAAATGTTTATAGGCTGTGGTCCATTTTGGACCCCACCTACTCCATCTAGCCTTCCTTCAGTATTCCAAACTAATTACACTAAATTGTGATGGTTTAGTTTTCCATATGTGTACATTTTAATTCTCTAGATTGAAAGCTGGTTGTGTGATCCTGGATGTAATTTTGCTGAGCCTGCTTTCTTTATTTGCAAATTAGGGATAATAAAACTTATTTTGCTGGGCTGTAGTGAGAATTAGAAATAATGTATCCAAGGTGTGCACAATAAAAAGTAGCAACTTTTTTTAAACTTCTACCTTTAGCAATCTATGTACATAGCAGGTGTTCGTATTTTTATATTTCAAATGAATAATCCTGGCATCCCACCCAATTTAGATACTTACTGAGCACCTATGACACATGAGGTACTGTTCATAATCCTTGAGGCCTTGTGAGCCTATATTATTCAGAGATGTTTTCTAGAAGTATTCAACAATTTTCTTACTCATCTGTTTCCTCAGTCTTTTACCACCCTGCCTGGTCCATTAGTAGGTGGTGAATAAATGTGTGAGCTGAGCTGCATATTAATAATTTCGTGGGAATTAGACTGGTGTAGTTTGTGCCTGTGGTCCCAGCTACTCGGGAGGCTGAGGCAGGAGGATCAATTGAGCCCAGGAGTAAGAGGCTGCAGTGAGCTATGATGATGCCACTACACTCTAGCCAGGGCAACAAAACAAGACCCTGTTTCAAAAAAAAAAAAAAAAAGAGACAAAGTGGCTGGTGGCACTAGCTAGGACCTTGGGCCACATCCTGTGATAAGAACCAGCGGATGGTTTCTGGAGGAGACAGAGAATTCTGTCAGTTCTGGTGTTGGTACCTGCCCAGATCTTCCTCTGGCTTGCAATCTGAGCAGTTTCTCCAAGTATCGAACTTAGATTGGACAGGAGCAAGGAATGGACGAAGGGCATGTGTCAGCCAAAGCCAATCTGGGGCTTGGAGCTAGTTTTTTAGTAAGGAATTTGTGTTTCATAAACTCTAAAAAGGAAAAGGGAAAGCTCCTGCTCCTTTCTCCAGGGAGGAAGAGTTAATACTTGAGTCAGACTCCAAGAACTAATTAGATCACAATTTCCTATGGGCAGGGTGATTGTAATTAAAGACATGAATTTTTTTCTCCTCCTTGTTTTTATACCATAGCATGGATCTTCTGCTCCAAGCAGTGAGATGTTTTGCTCTTTTTGGGTATTTTTTCTCACTGATGCAGCAGAAAGGATAAAATGAGCTCAGGCCTGCCTTCTTGGGGAAGGCTGAGTCATCTTTCTCTCTATCCTTTTTAATTAGATGCTTTTAGTTCCTAGGTTAAGTTCCTTGCAGGAAAAGAGTAACTTTTCTTGGTCCAGATAAACCTACCTATGTTCTTAAGTAGTTTAAAAAATTTTTCTTTGTCCCTGTAAGAAGAGGAAATTAAAAAAAAAAATTTTTTTCTTGTGTGCTAGAAATTCTACCAAGAACAGGATACAACAACCTGAACCTGTTCTCAATCTGATTTCATTCATCCTCCCATGGGCAACATCAAAGAAAAAAAGGCAGGATTTTCAGAGCTACCAAATGTGTTCAGCGGTGGCCGGATTCCAGGGCTACAGATGGTAAGCTCTCGGATGCTGTAAGTATTTGCTTGGGCTCATGATGGGATAAGCAATATACTGGGCAGTGGACGTAGTGAAAACGTATTAGATAATCCATGCTCTACAGGTGTTTTACATATAGTATTCTTTTATGTGTAAAACTGGGGAGAAAATAGCTGTTCCACAGCCCTTCCTACCCAGCATGCTTTTTCTTTTCAAGAATAATGAATATATATTGCTCCCTGCATATTCTCTATTTCTGCTGTCGCAAGATTGTATCTAGGAGGCATGTAATTTTAGAAGATCCATTTGATGATGGGTGAATACCTCAAACTAATTGGACCAAATGTCTGGAAGTTGCCCCCAACTATCCTGTCCCCTTTGAAGGGCTTCACGGGAAGGCAGTTTGTCTGCTGCTGGCCTTCTGCAGTCTGTGTTGTGGCAGATGGAAGGACCAGCATCATGTGAATCACTTTAGTGCTCAGACTCTCCCCATACAGTGCTCCCTTAAGGAGCAAATCTGTGCTGGTGGGAATTGACCCCTAGTCACAATGGCAACAAAAAAGAGTGGTGATGTTAATCTTACACTGGGAACCCACTTTAAAGCTTTCAGACTTTATAGGGGAACACAATGTCAGGTGTCATGACAAGGAGCTCACTGCTGGCATCACTGGATGTACCTCTAGTGGAATCTGGCACCTTGTGCCAAGAGCCATGAGCCCAGACGGTAGAATTCAGCTGTTCACCAGAAATTGTTCTCCTAATTTGATGGCCTTGTCTGTTGGGAGTAGGAAGAAAGCAACGTAACATTGAGAGCATTCCTAGGAACTTCAAAGGAAGACTGTGAACTGGGAACATTTGCCACTTTCTGATTTATGATGTGATTTAGATCCAAGAATTCTCACAAAAATGAGCTATTAATATGATTACTTCAGGTAAACATCTTTGTTTCTATCTGATTAAAATTTAGTGAATTTTTTTTTTCAGTGATCAATGCTATTATAGCATCATTATACTCTTGGTTCAGAAATGGCAATTTCTTTTCCCAGGATTTCTTGCTTTGAGTGATGGTTGGAGATTAATGTTATGGAGATGAGTCAAGTACTATGTTTGCATTTATAACTCTACAAATATTTATTGAATACATAGTACTTGAAAAATAGGTTCAAAAGTGAACCAACTAATATAGATCTGCTGGGAAAGAGATTCAGGTCTTCATATCAAAATGTCCAGATGAAATGTCAAAAATGTAATGTCCAACATCCAGATATATGGAATATTTTCCAGAGTGTTATCATCATGGGACAATGTAAATGCAGCTCACAAATATTGATTTCCACTCTGTGCTCAATTTTGTTATATTTTTCCAGGTTTAAACAATCACTTCTATTCAACATTTCAGTT